TTCTGCAGTGGGATCGCCTTTCCCCTGCGGTTCCCCACTCCTGGCAACTGCCCGTGCCGGAGTGGCACCGTAGAGCTAGCCCGGAGCTCCGGTGCGGCCAAGAGCAGCGTCAGACCAGCAGTCTGGAGTAGTGCAATTCTACTGATCTAACTAGGAAAGTACATACAGGCTGGGGGGGTGGGGGAAATCTAAGTTTTGGGTAATGGTTTCTGAACAATCCCTAGTATTGTAAATACTTAATCTTCATATGATATACACAGTTATAACACAGACATAGCAAAAAGAAAACTGCAAACCTAGAGATCCCAGTTCAATAGATTTGTTGGCCCAACAGCTTCTTACTTACCTGGGAATCCTCGTTCTGCTCTCCAAACATACGCTTAAGAATTTCTCTCGGGTCCGGAATTGGAGGAAGAATTAGTATCTTCAGCCTTCATGAAGATAAAAAGAAAATATTTAGATGAAAGATACATTCATTTAAAAATCACTTTAAAATCACAAAATCATTTAAAAATGTCAAGATCATGTTTGGGTACAGTCAAGAAAATTTGTGGAGTCAGCTTTGTCATCACTGGCCAGCCTTCATTCTCTGTGCAACTGTACCCATTTCTTATTTTTACTCCCCAAAACAAAAGGAAAGGGGAACAGTGACACAGATTCTGAATAACTCACTCTTGACAAAGACAGCAGCAAATGTAGGGAGATCATTATTTACCTTTTTAGATAAACTAGTAGAATTATTGTAGATACTGCTACTATTAATGGAATGGTAATTATTAGAACAACATAGATTGTAGAGTCCTTCTTCTCACCTGGAAAACAGAAATTGTAGAAACTTAGGGATGTTTTGAGAGATTTTTTTAGGAATAATGACAACAAAATAGTTAATTCTCTAATTTGTTCACAGACTTGGAGCTTTTTCAAGTACACTAGCACTTTTGTAGGCAAGGACAGGTTGTTTTTCAAAGATGGGATTATAATGTAGATGTGTTTGGCAAGGAAATGCAAATAAGCAAGACTCAGGACTGAAAAATTTGCTACACTGGACATTGCATAGCTACACAAATGGCACCACTATCAATATATACAGCAGCACAGGCTGGGACTGGTGGTGCTGTTGAAGGACTAGAGCTCTTCTGCCCTCTTTTCACTCAAAATTCAATAGGTACATAAGATGATCTTTGACTCCCATTTATTTAGCAGACAAAAATGTATTAAATGCTTTACAAAAGAAGAGTAAAGTGCAACACAATGCAGGGACAAGTGCTCTCACCAATGCTCTTTTCTTCACTCCAGTCACTATGGAAATTGCTGTTGTAACACTCACGCTTTGGTTTTGCTCTCACTTTGAAGGTGTATTTGCTGTTAGCATCAATGCCAGGAATTGACACAGAATTTATTTCAGACTAAGGCAAAAAAGAAAAGGTAGTTTGCTTTGTTCAATTACCAACATATTCTCAGTCACTTCCAAGCCTATTTACATTGTGCAGCTAATGTATTCTATGTTTTGATGGAAGAACTTTTTATGACTATGAAACCTCATTACAATAAGATATAGTGGCATTTAACAAGTACAGAGTGCCTAAATGCACATTCCAAGCTAAGATTTCATCTCATTCACTGCTACATCTATCATGCAGCATTTGTCATCAATGATTAAACTAAGACAGCATTTGGAACAGTGCCTTTTTTAATTTTTTTTCTCCTTCTTCTGAGAAACATCTGTGATTTACCCTCCCTTGCCTTCTTTTCAGGGCAGCATAACTTTGACTGTACCAAAGTGTTCTGTGACACCTCTACAGAGAAGAGCACACACTAGATAGGATCTAACTGCACTTATTTTTTTTATCCAAATTTCCAGTTTCCTGTGGACTGTTGCTAGCATTTGAGTTTGGGGTAGAATAAACAACATGCTCCACAGGAGAAGACTGCCATTCACTTTGAAATTTATCACGCTGCTTTTACCATTCTGATCAAACATTATGTTCAGTTTGGCTATGGACATACAGTGTGAGTCCACCCAGACACAGAACTCAATGCTTTTTGTATGTACACTAAAATCAGTGTATCTGAGGTTGCCCACTTCTTTCTTCCCCTCTGTCCTTAGTATTTATCCCCCTTGCTTTTCTGTATGAGAGTCTCTGTTCCTGTGTGAACCAGCAGTTGATTTTTCTTTAGGGCAATCAGGTCACAGCATTCAAGACCAAAGCTGCCACAAGACCACACAGACCAGCAGCAGGAAAAGCCAACACCAAGACATCAAAGCCCATATGCCTGAGCAGCATACAGGCACCATTTCCTGATAGTTTAGTAAATCCTTCTTTATCACACTGTTCTCACACACTAACAAATTGCCCTAACAAATGATGGGAAGGATTCAGAAGACTTGCATGAATTTTGATGTACAGTTTTCACTAACATAAACCTACAGTATGAGAGAAAAATCCTATATTCACACAGCACTTCCAAGCTCTGGCACCTGCCCCATTCACATGCAACTGCTCATTTTCAATCACAAATATTACAAAGGATTCACAGAAAAAAAAATTTGTAATGAAAACTTACTATCCAAACAATGTCTGAATCACCATTGCCCCATTTAACTTCATAGTGTAAGCAGTTTTTTGGAAAAGTTTCTGATGCACTCCATTTTACATCAATTCTATCATTAGTCTTTGACAATGTCAATTGTCTTGGTGTGGCAGGTTTTACTGAAAGACAAAATGGAAAAATTAGTTAAAAAGTTTATTTCACTGCTTACAAAAATTGTTCAGTGCTGTATTGAAGAATATTACACTTACACCACATTAAGAAGAGGAAAAAGCACCAGTAAGACAAAAAAAAGAGTAAATCCAACTAAAGAATAAGAGTAGAAGTTAATAGAAAATTATTCCTCCCCACCCAAATCCCCACCAAAAACAAACTCTTGTCTACATAATTTCAAATCAAAGATCAGTAGAAATAGGAAGCATCTAATCTCATTGTCTTGTCCATACTTTGTGAGGTAAAAGTTTCTCAAACACAACAATATACTACCAAACTTCTTATTTTACTTATATTTTTATGATGTGATGTTAAACTTACCAAGGGTGGTAGGATTTTTACTTGCACACACAGGCCTAATTTCTTCAGAATCATCTCTAATCAAAATACTTATAGCAGGGTAATTACTGGTGACTTTTGGGAACGTAAGATTGAAAATGCATTCAAAGATTTCCTGGTCTACAGAGTAGTTGCTACACTTCTTAGGGTTTTCCAAGCCATCAAACCTAGAGGAATAAAATTATTCTTGTAAACTTCAGAAGAAAAGGACAGCAAGGGGAAGGCTTGTTTATGTATGTGTGTTACAGATTCTAGACAGATACTGCATTAAAGCTATTTTATAGCATTTTAAAAAATAAAGCTAAGCAAAAAAACCTCTAATTTATCTCAAACTTTTAAAAGAGCACTGTTTTTGTGAAGAGTTCCAAGGAGCAGAAAGGGAGCTGGGTTTGCTATATATCAAAGAGAACAACTGCTATCAGCTTTGGTTCACATTTTCCACATGGGAGAACAATTCCAAGGAATAAAGAATATTTAGAAAATAAACTAATTTGAACCACTTCTTGTCAACAGAATTTCACCTTTGTGATAGAATGAGCTGATCAATCTCCTTTAGCTCTGCCTCAAGTATCACAGCACTTGAGACAGTTGAGCTTCACCTATTTACCCGAAATTTGCTTTTCAAAATGTCAGTATTCCCTTCCAATAATAGAGAAGTTAGGAAGACAAACTTCTTCCTTGTTTCTCTTTGTTGCCCAAGCCTCAATGAAAATACACCAGTAGCCCTTTCTCCCAAGGAAATCAAAAACCCCCACCTCACTGCCATTGTGGAAAATATATCTTTCAGTCTAAAATTGAAATGCTTTCTTAGCTTTTGGCTTTAAAATCTAAAAGATTATTATTATTTCAAAGCAGCATGAGTTAAAACATTTTGAAGTCACCCCAGCTACATCTTCCATTAAAATTAAGGGCAGGTTGAAAATATATAGCTCAAATCTAAAGCACTATTCCAGTAAGTATCCCTATACCCAGAAATTCAGATCTTCAACCCTGCTTTGGTCCTGCTCTTGTAAGAAACAAAAAGTTTGAGTAGCAGTCTAGACAGGGAACAAATAGTCCCCCCACATTTAACAAAAGCAGCAAGTTTTCTGCCGTTTGCTGCCCAAGTGCCCTGAATAGAGCAGCTGGCCTGTGAGACTGCCACTGGAGGAGCAAAAGGTTTATGTAGCTAGCTCAAAAAAGACAGAAAGCTGATTTAAAACTACACCACTATTTCTACAGAAGCTAATGCAATCTGGCATTTCACAAGTCCCATCAAGGTGCAGAAGTATGCATAGATTAGCATGTACAGCTATCAATGCCAAGAGCTGGCTCACACAAGTCTGTTCCTTTGGAACAAGACACCATTTATGGCTGTCCACTAGCCAGCAGGGATGATAATGATAAAAATAGTTTTAAAGGTGAATCAGTTATTTATAATATTGAAGATACAAACAGAAGTACTACTGAGAGTTATTAATGCTTTCATACCATTTCCCAATGGTTTATGAACTGACATACACCTTAGTGAATGATCCTAACTTAAACAGCCCATTTTGTTAGACTGCAAAGAAAGCAATTAATACATTGGTCTAGCTTAGTTCTTAATTATTCCCTCTTTGAATCAAGTGCCCAATCAGAGAAATACAGAAAGTAATAGCATCTATGTTAATATGGGCTATAGAAGCAGACTCAAAGTAGTTATATCAACTTCCCAAAAAGTCTTGGCTGTAGCAGCTTCTGGTCCCTTCAGTGGTGAAGTTTGCTGCTGGACAGGACTGAGCAGTAACTTGGACACAACACCCTGGGAACTTTCAAAGCAACAGGAAGCATACAAGTGGAATGTGTCATGTAAAACTAAAGATTAGTCCTGGAGCACTTTAGAGCTGGGAATATAAATCTCCTACAGACCAGTAGAACAAAGTGTAGTTGGTGTCACTGCTTGCGTTCTCCCCAGGACGCCAGGTACAAGCCATGTACTCCAAATTGTGCCAAACACAGCTCAAGTCAACAGCAGCAGTACCTGGAATACCTGCAAGACAAGTTGGAAATGTTCCCTAAGATTTATTTTGTCCAAGTTTTCTCCATTGTTTCCAGAAGTAAAACATTTCATTTTACATAACAAACTGGAAAGCACAAATGGATTGGTTACCTCTCAGACTACACTGCCTGTTCAGCACAGCAAATTATGAATTCCAGCTGTTCAGAGCTTGCAATGGATGAAATCTCAGCAGAGTAGTTTCTAGAGGCAAGCCAATCCCAGCCACAAATCCCAGTGTTCACCATGGCTGAATTGCTACTTAGAGTTACCAGATGCTAAGGACAAGGTATTGAGTCAGGAAAATATTTATTTCTATTAATCTACAGGTACTTTAAAAATAAGTCAGAGTAGCTGGTAATTACACGGAAAACTATAACAGCTAAATGCTATTACAGCCATCAATGTCAACCATAATTAAAGGCTGACTATTTTTACCTTCTCCAGATATAGTAGTAGTTTCTTGGTATTCTGAGTATGGCAATACCTCTGAGTCTTAAATGCTGACAAAAGCAACACTAGGTAAATTGACTTTTTAATTTGGACCCATATACCTTTAGACATTAAAATTTAACATATGGGAATTCAAGTCACATCAATACAAATGAGCACCTAGCAATTGTGAATAGGTCAATGGATTGCCCAGGAAGAGCAATTATAGAATAAAGTCTTTCATATTTAATCTTGCACTTCTGTATGAGTTCTTTACACTGTATTACATTGTATTGGATACTTTATCCTTGTAACAAGTAGCAACATCTCCATGAACTAAAAACGAAATGCATGTTAAATGCGGATCTACTTTGAAAGTCCTATGAATGAGCTAGCATTCTCCCTGAAGCAGCAGCTAAGAGTACAGGCAAATGAAACAGGTTTTCCTGTTCCAAGAAGTATATACAAATATTTCATCTGCAAACAGACCTTTAAAAGCCCCAGTCTGTTTAGTACATGCAGTCCTAATGGTCTGCTTCCCTGATTTTCCAGAACCCTTTTAGAAGAGACAGACACAGGCTTGATAAGGTGTCTGATTCCCCCAGCCACATGTGGTTTTCATTCACATCAAGTCATGCTCCTGGGTTAAGACAGACTTTAAGGCAAGAGGCTCATTTTCTTGCTGTACATCCAAACTTCAAGCATTCAGCAAAATACATTACTCCTCAATGTCTGCTTTCCTAACAATTTTGCTGTGGACCCCTTGTATCTGCTTGCCAAGAAACAAAAAATACTTTTTCTCTATTCATTTTGCTATGCTTTGTAGACCCCACTCATCTCTTCTGAAAAAGACAGAATCCTATTACAACTATTTAAGTAATTAAGTAATTTATTCAACAAGCTAAATGTTAAATTTGCTGCATTTCTCCTTCCTACATGGACAATTGGAGGGTTATTTTATGGACTTCTGTTTATACAGAAAAATCATACAAAATAAACTGACTTAGATGTTAGTCATGAAGGCAGCAGGCTCAATGGAGTCTAAGCTCTTATCCCACAGCCACCACACAGCAGGAAGAAGAGAAATAACAGGAACCACACTGCTGTTTTGCAAGAGTGCTTCAATTTTACAGTCTTACCCAGAAGACTTTAAGTATCAGAAGACCCCAGTTGTGTTTAAAGGTGGTATAATCATTCTGTTTAAGTTCTATCAATAAAACCAGCCCTTGTGTCTGGTATTTCTCTGTGATGTATTTTATGATTTCTTGTCAAAAGAGCAGAGAAAAAGCCATGTCTCCTCTGGCCCAGAGGGGTCTGGCCACTGCTGGTGTTACCTTTTGGCAGAAGGGAGGTCTCCACCCAGGGGCTGGGCTCACTTGTGGTGTCATTCTTGCATTCACTTCTCACTCTGAGGTGCATTTCCTCATTCAAGTGCACATCCGTCACACGGAAGCGGTTCTTACCCCATTTCTGGGTTTAGATGGGGGGAAGAAAACCAAAACATTTGTCATGCCATCTCAGACACACAGGAATTCCTGCCAGTGTAAGGATATATTACAGCCCTTCAAAAAGACTACAGCTCAAAGCCAAAGGAAACAAGCATCTGATTATTTGGGAAGCCTCAGCATCACTTGGCTTTGCTTTTTCTTTCTCAGGTACAGTCAGAACTCACAAAGAAAAGCTACTCCTACCCCTGTGACCTACAGTCATAAGCAAAGGCTACACAAAGATCAAGAAATAAGTATAACATGGGGGGAAATTATTCTAGAATAAGTCTTCATGGATAATGCAAAATAAGCATGTTTATACTACAGCTGTATAAACAGGCACTTACAGATATGACCTTCACCCTTCTGTGTGTGTGCACATGAGGGCATGGCCAACAAGATGAAGAACATTTGAAGACACAACCAAAAAGCAGCGAGAGGAGTTTGGACAATTTAAGGAGCAAAAGAAAAACCTACCAAAACAAACCCATAAATGGCTATTAAAAGTTGTGACACCACATCAAGCCCAAGTAGCTCAGGATCTTCCATTTACAGTATGTTTGTGTGAGAAAAAGGCTCACCCTTTTATCACACACTGTTAGTCTTGAGCATCTTTTGTGGGCTAGGAGGATGCCTTTTAGTTAACTGGAAACTGGATATAAAACAAATATCTTTGTTATGGCCAAAGAATGCTGTAACCACTCAAACATAAATTAATAAATATTGGCACTAATAAGACAGCAAAGAAATCAAACAAACATGTGGATTAGGTTTGTCTGGATTTAAAAGACAGGCGTCTGAGAAGGAAGGTGGTAACCTCCCTTGGAATGGAAAATACCACCTCCTTCCCTCTGAATTATTATAACTTCGAAATTACGGGGCTTTCAGGCACAGTTATGGGACAGGAGCAGCAGTTCTTTCCCA